CTATATAGGGAGAGAGTTAGTTCTGATACAAACAAAGTTAAATGCAAATATTACACTCAAATTCTCAATGACGGGATTAGCCGATTCAAACAACACAGTCAAAAAGAGGGGAAATTGCGCGCCATGTGTGAAAGTTCTCGATGATGTTAAGGTAAAAGTTTCCGAAATTATAGATAATGCAAAGAAGAGTAAGGATGAGAAGGAGATGAAAATGTTTGTTGAGTGAGGTGCGTATCGGGGAGGATGAGGAGCATAGCTCAATCTCATTTAGTCAAAGAAGCTTGTCATCCTCCCACAAGGTAATTGGACCAATTGACTCCTTCGCCGCTCGTTCCCCCGAGGAGATTGCCCAAATAGTAGCAAAGGGGAAACAATCGACGGTGGACTCCAATCTTAAAAAGAAGAAAAGGGAGGATGTATTGCGATACATCTCCAAATGGTTCTATGAAGCCGACATTCCATTTCATACCGTCACGCTTCCCTCTTTCCATCAAATGCTACAAGCTATTGGCTTGTTTGGAGTCATTTACAAGCTCCATCGATGTATGAACTGAATGAGACATATTTGCAAAAAGAAGTGGATGAGACAAAAGAAATTGTTGAAAACTTTAAAAGGACTTGTGTTGTCAATGGTTGCTCGTTAATGACCAATGCATGGAGTGATTGGAAGTCTAGAAGCAACATGAACATAGTTGTACATTCTATTGGGAAAGCTTGTTTTTTGTCTTCACATGATGCATCGGCCGATAAGCACGTTGCTCAGTATATCTGTGACTTTGTATACAAGGCTATTGATCAGATAGGGGAGGCAAATGTCAATGTTACATTAAACGTTGGGCGCTTCTAGGCGTCGGACTTGACGCTCAGCGCTTAGTCGCCTAGGCGGGCGCCTAAGCGGTTTCTGGACGTTTTTTTAATTGTGATACTTAAAGATAAATATATATATATACAATCAAAGATACATAAATACTAAAATACCAACATTATTAACTAAATTGCTTGGTTTACCAATTACAATAGCTCTTTGTATGTTTATACTTCTCAACTCAAATTATAAGTTCATCTCAACTCAAATTACAATATGCATTAAATTCATATAAATTTTTTAAAAAAGATAGCAATTTTAGTTCCACAATAAATCATGCATACTTAGATACTAAATAGCCAAAATAATAATTAACAAGGCTAGAGCCTAAGATGTTATCTTTTTTTATTTTTAATTACAATAATTGATAGTGAATGTCAATGTTACAGAAAGCATAGATGCCGGACAGGTGTCTAGGCGGATTTCTTTCTTCATTTAAGTAGTGGTCGATGAGGTTTTGTTGAAGGTCGGAGGAGGTAGTGGAGGTGTTCATATTTGGAGGTTAATGGAGTTTGGAGGACATGTAGGTTACAACACATAAAATTACAACCAAGGCCTACAGGGTGCAATCCACGTAAGCAGGCAATGCTCCCCCTAAACGCTCGTAAAATCTAGGTGGGTAGCCTAAATACCGCCTAGGCGCTATGCGCTAGTTAGGCGGCCTAGGTACCGCCTAGGCCTAGGCGAACGCCTAAGCGGACTAGGCGGAGGTTTTTTAAAACAGTGACAAATGTGATGCAGATAGTCGCTGATGCAGTTTCAAATAATAGACGGTTTCTAAGTTGGTCAAAAAGAGGCCAAATATATTATAGACGACTTGTGTTTGCACACATAGTGAACTTGATGTTGTCCGATATAGCTAAGATAAAACTCATTCGTAATGCTATTTTAATGGGGAGTGCATCAGTGTTCTTATATAATCTCACCAAGCCTCTTTAATTATTTAGGGAGTTCACTTAGGAAGATCTTGTGATACTGGGGGTTACGAGGTTTGCTACGGTGTTCCTTTCTCCACAGTCATTGAGAGATCATAAGAAAGAGATGAGGCAAATGTTTATCTCTGACCAATGGATAGATTGTAGCCTTTCAAGAACATTAGTGGGCAAAAACGTATATTTTAATTATATTCATTTTATTCATTTGATCATTTATATTTCATTGATTGGATTTTTTTGTATGTTTGTAGGTTACGGAGATAATTACTAACAACAAGTTTTGGGATAATATAGACTTTGCCTTCAAAGTATTCACTCCTCTAGTGAAGGTTCTTCAAAGAGCGAATGGTGATAAAATCAGTTCGATGGGATTTATCTATGGAGACATATTGGTGGCTATGGAGGAGTTGAAAGTGGTCCTTGGAGATGATGAGAATAAGTACAATCTCATATTGAAAATGATAGAGCTGAGATTTAAGAAGAATCTTAGTGAAACGCTACATAAAACGGGCTACTTTTTGAATCCTTTTTACAATTACCCGGCTTACACGGACATTAAAGGTGATGGAAGCTTCATGAAAGTCATAGTGGAGAGTATGCATAGACTCTATCCCGATGACCATGCGACTTTCACAGAGATTGGAAACCAAATATCTAATTATCAAGAACGCCTAAGATCATTTGGGGATCAATTTGCATGGCAATTAGCTACTAAGGGTGATTGTCCTGGTAAATTTATACTCATTCAAAGTAATTCATTGACCTCTTTTTTGAATTTATAAGTTACTAAATTTTTTCAATTATGAATTGACTAGTTATCTGGTGGAGGTTTTATGAAAATGATACTCCCGAGTTAAGGAAGATAGCAATGAAGATTTTGGGCTTGACAACTAGCTCATCGGCTTGTGAAAGAAATTGGAGTACATTTGAGATGGTAATATTATTTCTTAAATTTTAATCATCTTGTAGGCTTACCTTGGAGTTCATGATTAGTTTTTTATGCTAATTCATGATTTTATTTTGTAGATTCATACGAAGAAGAGGAATAGGCTAACTCCTAAAAATTTTCATAACTTATCTTTGTCAAGTTCAATGCAAAGTTGAAGAACAAGCATGTCGTTATAGATAGAGATCCTTTAACCGCCTACGATGATGAGGAAAGAGTATTCGAATGGTTATTGGGTTAGGAGGGGAATAATATTGATGATGAAGTATTCCCGGGAGAGTGTTTGACTTTTAGGCAAGTTGGAGATATTTTGGGAGCTAATCCAAGGAAGAGAGAGAGTGGAAGGTTGCAAATGTATAAAAGAAAGAAGAAGTCGGGATCATCTTCATCGAAAGAAAAGGAGCCGATGGAAGATGATGAGGAAGAAGAGATGGACGCGTTATTCACGGATTCGAATGAGGATGATGATCTTACTTTAGATCACGATGAAGATTGATTATAGACTTTCTAGTTATCTTAGCTTTTATGTTATTATGGATTTGCTCTTGAATGTTAAACAATTATAAACTATTTGTAGCTTTAAAAACTTATTTGTTTGTTATGATTTGCTTATGTTTGATATGAATCTTGTGAGTTGTGATCTTCATTCTATATGTTATATCTTATATGTTACTTGCTATATTCTTTATATGTTATTCTATTTTTACTAACAATGTTTTCTTATTTTGTAGGTCAAGCACCCGAATGGTTTCAATATGCAATCGAGAATCAAATTTCTACAATCCGTTAGTAACCTTAAACATCATATATTATTTACTCTTTTATATGTTTAGTCTATAGAATTTATAAAGTATGCTTATATTGAATTTAGGAATGCTTAGATTATATTTAGGACATGATATTATACATATGCGCACCACCCGATATGACAATCCGATATATAGTCTGTCCCCCGATATATCCCCGATTTCCGCTATCCGACGTGAATTTTAACCGTTCGACATGAACCCAACATCCAACATTTAAAATCTTACATATAGCAATTGTCAACAAGACCCGAGTGCCATTTCATGACATAGCAACCCAATTAAGAATGAGACTCTGCAAGTATGACCTGTCTGATAGCCTATTACAAATTAGAATACCCTAATAGCCCTTCCTTTTTTCCGTGTTTTAAGGTTGTTGGGACCCAGTGCAAATTCAATTCATCTATGGAGCAAGTAGGGGAAAGAGATCGGTACAGATTCCTCACTTACGGAGCAAGCAGAGAAAGTCATGCAACATCTTGCAGTAGGAATTTTTTATTTGGTTACTGAAATTGTGATACTCTGCTAGTTCCTCCATTGCACAAAGAGCTTTGTTTGTAAGATCAAGTCAGGTGGATTTTTTTTTAGGATTTCGTTGTTTCTAATTTGATAAAGCTCAATAATCCATAACCAAATTATGGGCATTTGATATGCGATGTTTAGGCGAATAACTCTAAATGAAGGCGATGCCTCAGACAAGGAAATGATGTTACTTGTGCTTGTTTGAGTTTGCAAAATTATAGGTCTTCTTTATTAAGGAGAGGTCTTTCTTAGATAATCCTGAAAGTCATTAAACTCATTATTGATAACATCATGTGATTTGAACCTTCATTATACTCGCAAGGAACCAAGCTAACCAAACGATCACCTTAGATGGATAGGAAGATGTGATAAAATTTAGACATATCTCTTTTGACTTTATAAATGTAAAAAATGTAAATCAAAGATTAATTATCTTTCAAAATACAAAGAGATGTCTTCAGCTTGGTCTGCACTATTTTTACATTTTAAGTTTAGTTTTTGCAAGGGCTAAAATCAAGATCTCAAGAGTACATTCCCCATTAACATTTGTTATCTTCATACTTTCAAATAGAAAAGAAAAGGATCTTCATATTTGTGGACCTTGGTGATTTTAGTTCCATGTTTTTCTCTAAATGCAGATCATTTGAAATAATGGAATCAATTTTTTTCAAATGAATCAAGTCTATTTTTTTCTTGCAACCGAAAAAATATTTGAAATACAACAAACACATGCTCACAAACATGCATCCACGAGGCCATGCCAAGCTACATATGTACACAAGGACATTCATGTGTCTTACACGCCAGCATGTAACTAAACATACAAAGAAAAATACTAACACGCTCCACCCATGCGTACTAACAAATGTATCACAAAGAAAAACAGTTCAGTGAATAATGTTATGCTAGTGTTAGGTACCACTTACTCAATGAAATAATGTCTTGGAAAGAATATCTTACACTCCATATCATCATCTTCCAATGCGGACTGATGGCTGAAAAAAGTAATCAGTGGTTGTAAACTTTAGTCACGAGAAAGGATCGCAGTTTAAATAGACCTCAATAAAGAAATCATCCAACAAAATAAATGCATAGATCATCAACATATAATATGCCAAAATTTCTAGTTTGGTACCGTGCAATCATCAAATAACCCTCTATAGTGTACACTACACAAACTGGATGTGATAAAGAATATAGGATAGGCGCCGACAAATGTGAAAGAAAAACTTGGAAGCTAAACAGAAGCAAAAACACCAAGTTCATTAAAATGCATATAAGCAGCTTAGGTATTTATGAGCACGCTATCTTCTACCACATCATGGGTATATGTTAACGTCAAGCTAAAAAAATAGCACATAACAAATATTTTAGGTTATTTTAATAGATAATATGACTAAAAACAAACACAAAAATATAAATCAAATGAATGTCACGGCTTTATACCTTTTCTTGAATTTTAACCGAAGTTTCTCATTACTTTAAACGCTTAATTACGCTTAAATGCCCTATGGTTTCCCCTACTTTGCAGTTATGCATCCTCACTTGTTTCTGACAGTAGTTATATACTCTAAAGATTTTAAAACTTGCACTTCAATATCCTCATTTGTTTTAGCAGCACTTATATACCCTAAATTTTTTAAAACTTACACTTAAATAGCCTCGGTTATGCAAACTTGAGGGTATATAAGTGCAATTTTTAAAAAACTTTAGGCAATATTTTTTTATAACGAGGGTAATATCTTAAAATAGTCTAGATCCAACTTTATAGCCCATGTTTTTTCTTATCCGGCCTGGACTATTTTAAAGTAGGGACTAGTCAATACCCAAAAGGGGGACTAAAATAAGCTCACCCCACCAAGCCCTTTATGATCCATGTATCAATTATCTAGGGCTATTAAGATTATGGGTCAAATTTTCCCTTGCTCTTTTCTTCTTTATCTCCATAAATTTTATATCCCTTCCCTCTTGTTTTCTTCAGTGCCTCTTTTTCGCAAGTAGGGGATAAAAATTGCTGAAATATTTTTTCTGCAAGATTCTTTTCCGGAAAAAAAGATTTTTACGTGAGCAGAAGAAAACCCATATTAGCAAAGTTATAGCTTCCTGCGAATTGGCATGGTTAGGGCTTCATGCTTAAAGCTCTATGATCCCCTACATCATGTGTAAATGCTTATCTTTTATGACAGCTAGTTGCAAGCAGCTAAGCATTTTCGCATTCTATTGGTTTTAGCATTCTTCTCCCATATGAATTCTAATTCTCAAATATCCGTTCAATTTCTTTCAGACCAAAGATTGATGCAAGAACACTTGATAAATTGCAAAGTTTTACAATGCAATGTAAACTTACATTATGCATTCAAAGGGAAACAGAAATAACTTTGAATGCCTTTGAACTGTTTCGCTCTAGGCACCAGTAACAAAATATAAATTTATTTTCAAATGATCCAAGTGTATTTTGACATTTTATCCAAGGTCATTCTCAAATTCTGAATTTCAAACAGATGCATTAATACAAGATCAGTTGATTTGAGGCAAAAGGATCATTCTAGTTGTGATATTAATCCGAACAGTCATAACCACCTAAAAACAAACACAAGTATGCACTATTTTAAGTTAATCCTAACGTTAGTCCTTGTGAAAACAAAAATGTGATAGAAATCCCAGAATAATATAGTCTGAGTACTATAGTCTGGGTAATATAATACCTCTAGTCCGGGGCTAGAAAAAAAATGTGGCCTTAGGGTATGCAAGTGAGGATATTTAATTGCTGCCAGATCAAGTGATGATATATAAGTGAAAGTTTTAAAGACTTTAGCATATGTAGGTGCTGCCAAAACAAGTGAGTATATAAGAATAAGTGCAACATAGGGGTATTTAAGTGCTATTAATCCTACTTTAAAACTAAAATTTTCATTAATATTTTATAGTACCATCGAGATCTTTTTGTTTTCATTTAGGTTCCATCTTTGCCTTCTTCATGAAACTTCTTAATCTATTAGGCAGCTTCTGCTAATATGAACCAATAAATATGCAAACAATGATCATTCATTTCTCAAAGATAACTGCACAGTGATACAAATATGTATCCACAGATAAAAACTTCTGTGACATTGTCCAGTCAATGTAACTATTAAATAGGCAAAAAGATTAGGAGGAACGCATTTATGAAATATCTTATAAATATACATCCAGCAATGCAAATAATGTTTATGATTTTTGGTACGTAAAGGCATTCACCTTTCATGTATAAGCAAATACCAATTATTTGTGGATATCTATACATCAGCAATGTCTCCAGACAAGGGACCTTACTGATGGGTCCACTCCACATTTGGTAGATGACAGTTTCTTTTGCATTTCTTCAGGACAATTTCAACCCTAAATAACATTGAGCACCAGATACCAAGTGTTTCATGTACTTAAGAGATTATATGAAATGAGCCAAGGAAATAATCAAGCCAAAATTACAGTACCAAGTACAATGCTGTGGTACACTAACTAGTTAAAAATATGTGCAAAAGCCACATACTGCTACGTCATAAATCTACTTATCTTTCTGGTTTAGATTTGACATTTAGGCCTTCCATGACTGCAACCACGAACAAGCACATATTTTATATGATAAATCTAGTTTCAAAATAATTCATGGGTAAGAAACAATGTCATACATGCATAGGACATAATTTAGACCTAACATAGTAATAAATAAACTGTGGTGACCTTGCATGAAAGAATTGACTATCGTAACATTCACGTTACAGTGACAGAAGGAAGGAGATATACAAGGAACGAGTAAAATCTTACTTGTGAGAAGCATTCCATATATCTTTATATCTCTCTGCTAAAGACTTGATCTTCGTCTCTTTCTCAAGCCAGCGCATATCAGAGACAGCGCAAATTAATTTCACTACATCAACATAGAATTTCATATAGAATGTTACATTAGTTAACTTTGTAGAGTATATAAAATAATTGAGAAAAAAAAAAGCATTAACAACATAAGGTTGCAAACCATTTAGTTAAATTTGAAAGAAGCATTCTTAAGACGTAAAAATAAACAGTTTTTAAGTAAATAGAGAAAAAACAATACTATATCCATACAATTGAAGTCCATCGCATGGGAAATCTCTAATGTATAGATAAATACTTGAAGGTAGAGAATATACACTATACTTTCAAAATTTACTCTTACCCGCCTATGAGTGTTGGAAAGATGACTCGGCATAAATTCTATTGTTAGCAACTAACATTTTTTTACATAAATGATTAATATTTTATTAAACAACCAGGCATAGGCAATATATATTTAAATAGGACCAGGCTTCTACTTTATCAGGATAGTATAGATTATATTAAAATGAAGGATACACTTGTCACTTTTCCAAGACCTAATGGAGATCACCATATGAATTCACAGCATGAAAACTAAGGTTATCAGCACCGGTAAAAACCATCTGAGTCAAAGTACTTATCGGATAGAAAAACAGCTAGCACTTCTCAGAGTTCAAGTTGAATTCTAGCCCTTTGCTCACATTAAAACAATAGGACATGGATCAATTCAATACTTGAGTTATAATTTCAACAACATGAAATCATTACCAAAGTGGGAGCAAAATTTTAGCTACAGCCCCCACACCACCTGTTGAGAATATCTTAAATTATTATACAAAATACACACTGATATACATGAGAAAGAAGCTGACACTGGAGTGAATCTACTAGACATGATCACTACTTTTCCATCTCCAAACCCTATATTATTCAATGTATCTAAAAAGCATTTGTCATCCATTTGCATGTTACAATTATCCACATTACCAGTCCTTTTTCCATTCAAGCTACTATAAAGTCAACACCAACATCTCCTTTACTGCTTTCTTCTCCGCATACCGTCAACAGAACCAATTAGATAGAAGGAACATTATAATGATGTTAAATAAGTGGAAGGAGAAGAAAATAAAAAGAAACAAAAGAGAAGGAAAACAAAGCCGAGAGGGAACTTTTGCATGTACTTTCCTTTTGTTTTCCAATTTCTTCCGTGCTTTTCCACATTCCAAGTGAATGAGACAATCTGACTGCAAAAGGAAACAAAATAGAAGGCAAACAAAGGCGAGATGGAACTTTTGTATGTACTTTCTTTATTTTTCCAATTTCTTCCATGCCTTTCCACATTCCAAGTGAATGTGACAATCAGACTGCAATTTCTTACAATCAATAAGATTTCCTTCTACATGAAAGTATACTTATGATGCCAAAATGGATATCCTCTAACGTCAGTCTCTTCGCATATCTTCTAACTGAATGGCACATAACCTGACCTAACTTACCTGAAACTTCATCTAACTTTAACCATATGTTGCTGCACCAATCATATGTTTTTGCCTACAACTCTGTTACAATGTTTGGTTACAATGTTTGGCGTGAGCAGTAAATAACTTATTCCGTGATAACTACATGAAACTGTCTGATGTAATATTGGCAATTGGGTCGGATGGGGTCATTTCCATTGACCCAGGCAAGCTTGACCATACCCAAACCTGTTTAATAAATGGGTCAGCACAGCCGACCCATTTATTTAACGGGTCATCCAAGCTGGCCCTTATATTTTAATTAGTTTGTTAAATGGGCCATTCTCCCAAGACAGCAGCAGTATACTTCCGAAAAAACATGTGCCCAACACAACATCAAAGTCCCAAGCTTCAGGCACGTGACAGAGGTAAAAATCCAAACATCTCTTCATTCATTTCATGAGAAAAGAAAAAGTGTAATCAAGACACTAACAAAATGACCTTCTCATATCTCAACTTACAAATTACACAACTGTCCCCATGCAAAAAAGAGTTACACAAACCTAATATATCTGCAAACTAACAAAAAATATCAAAAAGTAAAGGGGGACAAAAGCAAAAAACTAGATCTTTGCATTATACAAATTCTACCGTCATCCCTCTCTCTGCACCGCAAGAGGCGGGGCTTGCCACTTCTCCTCCTTCTATATTCCATTCTCGAAGGTGTTGAAGTTCAAAATTGAGGTAAACAATAAGACCAAATCCACTAGAAGAATATAAAAGAAATATCCCAAGAACCCATCTTTTCAATACAAATCCAACTATAGCAAAACCGAAACGCACTCAAATTACCAAGTTCAAAAACAAGATCAAACCAAAACAAGATTTCAATTTCCAATCCTCCACCTGTCCTTTGTAAGTGATGCTTGGAGCTAGAGCCTTAGAAAAAGAAAAATTGCTACTTTTAGCTTCTTCAATAAGGCAGCAGCCTTTGAGGATGTCATTCTCATCTCCACCATTGCCGGTCAAGCATGAGAGAAACCTAACCCAGATCTTGAGTGAATCCTAATTGGAGATCAAAATTGAGATCTCAATATCCCTAACCAGAGATCGAACTCGAGATCTCCGCAGAGGCGTTCATCCAAGGAATTTAATAAACGAGTTAGATGGGTCATACATGGGTTGACCAGATTAATGACATGTACCATTTATGATGTCATAAATAAAAAACACGCATCAACCTTAGTCAAGAACGAGAATAGCACTAAATCCCCTCCTAAACCACAATAAAGCACCCATAACCATCCTCATACCTTGCGGTCCTGCATTCCAAGATCCTTCCATTAAATGAGAAGAAAAAAAAGGAAGAGACAAATCGTATTCCATATAAGCAACAGTAACATATTTTCTCCTAACACAAAAAGCTTATTTATGATAAATCTAGGATAGGAGGGAATAGTCTGTTCTAAAGTTGACCAGTGTTTTAAATATCGGCCGACATGTCGGACATGTCGGCCGATATAGCGGATCAAGGTGTCGAGCGACACAAATCGGGGAAATACAAGTCGCATATCGTTTTTGGGTGATATATCGGTCATGTCGGCGAAAAATCGGATATATCGGCCGCTATTTCCTATTTGAAAAATCGGCCAAAATTTATGAAAATCGGTTCAGCGATATATCGTGGTTTTTAACTTTCCCTTTATTCTTTTTACTCTTCTTTCTTTTCCTAAATTATCATCATAAGTTTCTTTTTGTATCTTGGAGCAAATTGTGGACAAAAAGTAATTAAATAATTCTTTTGGATTAAAAGTAAAATTAGCTCTAACTTGATTTTTTTAGTAATCCTCGGAATATGAAAGATTCAACTCCGGTAATAATCCTTGTTTAATTAATATGATGGGAATGCTTGCATAAATATTTTTTTATATCTTTACATTTTAGCTCTTTACATTTTAGCTCTAATCTTGTTTAATTAATATGAAAGATTCAATGTCTTAATTTTTAGTAATCCTTGTAATAATCCTTGTTTATCATTTAATAATCCCTGATTTCTCGTATATTGTTTACTTTTTTAGCTCTAATATTGTTTACATTTTAGCTCTTTACATTTCTCATATATTGTTTACTTTTTTATATGTCTAGTCTATAAAGTTTATAAAGTATGCTTATATTGAATTTAAGAATGCTTAGATTACATTTAGGACATGATATTGTACATATGCGTCCACCCGATATGGCAATCCGATATTTAGTCCATATCCCCCGATATATCCCCGATTTCCGCTATCCGACATGGATTTCAGCCGTCCGACATGAACCCGACATCCGATATTTAAAACCTTGAAGTTGACATCTAGAAGCAATTGCTTCTCACCTCAAGATTAACAAAAGATGTGCACTGCACCCGTGAGAGAATTATGCAAAGTAACCAACTGAAGAATTTCAGTTAGTGTGGCTGAGGGCACTCTGGCCCATATCGGAAAAGATACCTACCAAGGTCATTTTGTGTTTATGGGGAACCAGGAGATTGTTGTGGTTAAACTGCAAATTATGTGGTGATAATCGTAACTTAGATACTTCCAAGGATTGTATGACAAAAACATATATCCAAACGAGTCCTTTCTTAAAAAAATTACTTCACAGAATAATTGTAGTACATGAATGCTGAAAGAAAACCAACCCAAAACTTCAAAATAGCTCACCACACAAAGACCATTGTTAGCCTACTGTAGCTAGGGGTGGAAGTGAACCAAATAATTAATAAACAGTTCGATTATTATTCGACCAGATATTCGGTCAAGTTCGATTCGGTAGCTCATTTAGTATTAAACGAATAAAATTTAATATTCGGCTTATAAATGAATAGAATTTAACCACAAGTACATTCGATTCGGTTGATCATTAACTATTCGATAACTATTTACATTTTAGTCCTATTAATTGAAGTTTTGCAAACACTACTTATCTAAGTTTTTTATTTATAAATGTCAACCCATATAAATAAGTAGTAATTGAATATATAGATGATAGGGTCCTTTTTGCAAGTAGTATATGGGATGGAGAATTCAGATATTTAAGTTCAACCATGTCCCAAACCCAAGATCCTCCCAAGTCACGTGCCTCACCCCCATAAACCAACACTAAAAAATCAAACTCCAATCTTCACAAGCCCTAGCCCCTTTTCAAATCACACCACTTGTACCTTTCAATGGTCTAGATCAATCCACTTTCTCCCAAGTTCCCAACCCTCTGTAAATATCTCCCCACCCTCAAAACCCTAGTATACACGCCGTCAAAATAAAAAAGAAGCTGGAAACCGTAATCTTCATCAATCCGATGGCATCCAACCAAGAGATTCTTCGACATGACCGTCGGCGGCAAGGATGCTGGCCACATCGTGGTGGATCTCTTCTCCGACGCCGTCCCCTGCAACGCTGAGAACTTCATCGCTCACTGCACCGACGAGAAGGGCACTGTCCGCTCCAGCAAGCCCTTCCATTACGAAGGCTCCGCTCCTCCACTCGGCCCTCACTCATTTTCCACTGTCGAAGCTCTCTTCCCCTCGAGTATTGAAGCTCTATGTAGGTAAAAATCACATTTTTTTTATAAACAAATATTCGTGAATACTTATCGAATGCTAATATAAGTTGTCGAATCGAATTTGAATGGTCATTAAGTATTTGCGTCGAATATGAACACGAATTCGAACATGTGGTTCTGGGTCGAATTCGAATTCGAATAGTAAGGTATTCGTTCAAATTCGATTCGTTTCCACCCCTACCTGTAGCCATAAAATTATAGACCTTGCTATGCCTAGTTCAGAAATTGTATACAGCATACACAGAGCTGGCCCTTCAGAAGGCCAACAAAAAATTATTTTCAATGCACTTTAAACATTGTAAAATTATAAGTACTTCACAATAAGCAATAACTCCTAATTACATGATTTTTATTTGTGTTTCCTACTTTCATTATAATAAAAATCACTAAGTACCAAATTACTCATTACTAAGAAGCATAGTTACGCATACCTAGCGGGTCATGGTACGCAATTCGCCACTTAGAAATTTGGATGACCGGTAGCTTGCTTCAGTACGCAAGTTTGGTTAGTGGTACATTCAAGGTTTTTTCAGACGCGCTTAAAGTATTCCAAAGCATATAGTAGAAAACTAGAAACTAGAAAGCTAATTATGTATTTTAATATTTTTTCATACAAAATACTTAAATACTTCTTTTACAGACTTTATTTCTTCTTTCTATTTTTTCGCATTTGTTTCTTCTTTCTATTTTTTCACATTTGTTTCTTCTTTCTATTTTTTCACATAGTTCATGTTGGTATCATGGTCAGTGTTGTAAATAGCGGCTAATAGCGGGGCTATAGCGGCGCGAATAGCGGTCGCGGCCCTTCAGCGCTACGCGTAGGGGTTTCGCGGCTGGCTTAAACGGGAAAATCCGCTAGTCATTCGAATTGCGCGTAAAAGCGGATTTTAGCGGGTTAAAAGCGGGTTTTCGCGGTTAAAAGCGGGTTTTCGCGGTTAAAAGCGGATTTTTGTTGTTAAAAGCAGCTAAACCCGCTAAACCCGCTATCACACATATTATGATGCTATATTTTTTGAATTTCTTCATAGTTTCATTCATACAACAAGCTTATTAATTGTTATTTATTGATAATACAAGAAATTTACAACTAATTGAATTTTTAGATTTTTTTATGAGTTTTCTTATTATTTAGGATATTTAAATATATTTAAATTTGACCGCTATTTGATTGTGCGCTATTTGCCGCGATTTCGCCGCAATAGCCCAATATAGCCTTAGCGGTACCTCACCGCGACGCGCCGCGATCCGCTATCAGCAACCTTGATCATGGTTTCATTTCACGTTTTATTAACATCACTACTTGGTTACAGTAAAGCCATTGGCTCATATATTCTATTATGCGCTTCCCTTTACTTGATTGCACACATTGCATTGTGTCTTGTGCATGTGCACTTAAAGGGATAGGGGACTTCGCCTCCTACATACTTAAAAGTAGTACGCTAATTTTGCCAATTCGTATATTGGAGGGGATCTGTTAGCAAAGGTGCTAGGAATCGGTTAGGGGAACTGTATGGTTCAAGGAGGTATAGGGAATTGCACAACTATGCTAAGTATAAATAATAAAAGCACAGAACTCCGATGTCTTTTGAGTACATAACTACATAAATTAAACACCTCCCTCCTTACGCAACTTATCAAATATAACAAACAATATAGAACTCTATTATCTTCCAGGTAACCAAGAATTCCCACCCCGAATCAATGATTAATTACCATAAATCTTACAAAATATGTAGCTAATGCAACAAATAGTACAAAACACTATCTTCTGAGTCATGTAGATAAGTTCGAGAGTCATCCATTATGTAAAGACATTCTTCTAAGTAAACACATGGAAGCATTTTATAATTACCAAAGAAATGGGGTTCTTGAACCCATTCAGATGACCAAGACTTCATGGTTTCTATTACTCACTGGACTTCATGGTTTCTATTACTCACTAATCTATACTATATACTAAAAGAACCCTACTTGGCAAATTCTAAGACAATTGACTTTCAAAGTTCTACTTATTGATTCTGCAACCTTCTTTCTTATTCTCTCCCTCTAACTGATTGCAATGGGCTCCAGATTAAGAATTTTTTAATTATTATTAATATTTCTAATTTGGTTATACTATAACTTGTAGAGTGAAAGTAATATACAACTATCAATATCATAATTTTGCAACATAATTGTGACAACAATGTTGTAATACTAAGTCCCATGCATCACACGGGGTAAAACTAGTTGTATACCACAAGTGGTAGAAGATGTGGCTCTTGAACCCATTCAGATGACCCAAGAAGCTCATGGTTTCTATTACTCACTAATCTATCTATACTATATACTAAAACAAAATCGTCGGTTGCCACTTGACAAATTCTTAAGACAAATAAAATGAAAACTTCTACGTGTTGATCCTGTAACCTACTTTCTTATTCTTTTCCCCTCTCATTGATTGCGACGGGCTCCAAATTAAGAAGTTTTTTAGTTATTATTAATAGTTGTGATTTGTCTATAGTACAACTCTAGAGCAAAAGTAATATACAACTATCAAAAATCATAATTTTGCAACATATTTGTGACAACAAAGTTGTAATACTAAGTCTCATTGCGTCTTATGGGGCAAAAGTAGTTGTATACCACAAGTGGTAGAAGATACACAACTAATCTATAGACCATACTGTAAAAGCAGTTGTATACCACAAGTGGTAGAAGATACACAACTAATCTATAGACCATAGTGCCCTTCTTTTCATCCCCTCCCTCCCTCAATCAGCCACTGACATAATACCATGAATATATAAGATTTATAAGCTAATATAATAGAAAAAATAGTCCCTCCCTACCTCAAAGATTAAAGCTAATATAATTTGACAGACCCTCCCCGACTATTCTGAGCCAGAGGGAACATCAAGACAGAATTATTTGAAAGCAAACGAAGACAATTTTAAGTCTTAATTCAATTTTTTGGTAATTTAATGTAGAACCATTTTTCCACTAAAGAAATTTAAGGAAGTTAGATATTGGTTTCTAAGGTGTCGAGGATAAAGTTTTGAACTGAGTTTTTCGCTTTCACTTGACTGGATGAAGAAAAGGTATTACAACATTTTTATTAACATATATAGATAGATATACACTACATAATAAATGGAACAAAACACTGGCAGGAAAGTAAAGCTATAACAACTAAGAATTCATCCAAGAACATAAATCAAGCAGGAAATATTTGGGAGAAAGACCTACCACAACTATCATGAATTTGTTTGTTTCCATTTACTCTAGTTGCTCTTAGATAAAATTTAATCAGAGCAGACTCGACCTGTAACAAGAAATAAAATCATAAGCAGCAGAAGTCAAAAATGTAATGCATAAATTTATAATGAATTTAAGAATAGGAAAATAGCACTACTCACACTGACACTCCATCGGCATTGGATGTGAATTATATCAGCAACTGAACATTCTAAAACAAAGTTCTCATTGTTCCCATTTACATCAGAACACTTCACAATGATGGAATCTGAAAAGAACAATAAGCGTGCCTCTCCATACAAAGTGTTTTTATGTATGACATAATCTGGGGTAACAATAACTGCCAAGTCATCTTTATCCTGCAAACCAGTAAGTGCAAACTAGTCACTGTAGATTTAGAATCATTTCTTTTTAATTAATAGATCCGATAGCAACTCCGAGTATGGAATACAAAGGGATCAAATAGGAAATGGATAAATGAATCATGCAACTATAATGAACTACGATCAACCAAAATTTATCAAAAAGCCCTCTTCTTAAGAGAATAAAAAAGATCAAGCTACAAGAGCATTGATTCTGAAACAAGAGAGGAATCAGAAGAAAGCATAAAATTATTATTTCATAAGATAATTGACAAAATTTAAAGTAAACAATGAGCATGACAATCACAGCCCATATAGCAACCAATAAGATGGGATCTCAAAACTTTAATTCAATGAATAACAATTTATATACAATGCTTCATATATCTTAATATTGGACAATTAAAAACAAAATGTGCACAAAATGAGTGTAGGGCAAATGACATTGTCATGATGGCTTGTGGGCATACACTAAAAGATAAGATAGGTAATGAGTGCATTCATGAAAGCTAAGAGGTCGATCCCATTGGGAATAAAATGAGAAAGGATCAATTTAGATAGTCTGCTTATGTACAACAAAGGTCTCTTAGTACACCCATTAGGAGAAGTTATAGGATTACAATTAATGGGCCAAAGAGATCTAGAGGTAGACCTAAAACGGCTTTGGTTGGAAGCAACAAAAAAGGATGTGCTGATAGTTAACTCAATGGAGAAGATGTCCCAAAATAGAATTGAATGGAAGGATAGGATTCATGTAGCCAACCCCAAAATTTTGGGAGAATGGCACTGTTGTTGTTACTAATGCTTAAGGCTTCAAGTGTATAATCTTCCAAGCCAAAATTACAGCAAAGCAAAAGTCAACTTCAATAAACGTGATGACTAGCCATTGAAGCTCAGCATATGTACTTCAGAAAGAGCATATAGGTAATAAGCACTACCAACATAATATCCTTTCAAATCATATAGCGCATTGATTTCAAAATTAACACATGGTCACCATAAGGATCCTTTATTGTCCATCATATTTTTGTCAAATTCATTGACCTTGCCCATAGGCTCCTACCTCACCCTCCTCAGAAATTACACTATTCATGAATCAAAGTCAATTTTCCAATCACCTCAGCAGGACATCTCTAAGGGATTACACCAAGGCTCCTGCCTACTCCTGGTTACATCACTTTTGAGGTATTATATTGTTCATAGAAGAAAGTCAATATAGTTCATAAGAAACAGAAGTTGCAGAATCGACCTTCTAGACCATGATCTTCCATTGAGTATGATACTTAAGATGGGACGATAAACCTTTGACATTATCATTATCAAGTAAGAGATGCTTTATATAGGATCACAACTTTTGGAGAAAGTGTAATAAGCTTGTATGCCATGTAAGTTGCCATGTAAGTAATAGAAGAAACAGTTTACAATTACCAAAAACCAATCAAATTATTAGGTACAGTTTACAGCCAGACTAAAAGACATCACGTACAAGATGTCGAAATACTTCAAAGAGGAAATAAGCAATGATTGCTTCCATGCATGTCCATGTAAAGTTATGTGCAGGTGCCAGTTCCCTCTTCGGCACTGACATCATAATTAAGGCAGTACCTTAGTTCTGTAATGCCCCCATTGGATAAAATCAAATCCCCCATTTAGAATCTTTTATCTGAGCATGTGAAACTTTTCATAAAGGAAAAAGGTACAATTCATCAATAGATTGTTATACTTGGATAACATGACATCTAAGCTGCACGGGTACGGGTATGGGACATGGCAAATTTCTAAAAAATAGGGTATAAAGACATGTCTGAAACTCATGGGATAATCATAATTCTAAGTAATATATCTACATGACCCTTTTAAATCATAGCTCTTAGGGCTGAAACAAAATCGACCCTCATCCGACAAGTTACAAAAATGGATGTGAAATGTCAGATATATATCCAAGAAATGTATGACGGGTGTTTTAAATGAAATATGCATTTATAACTAAGCATGTCTTAATAAATATATGCATATATTTAAGGAGTGTCCAAGAAGTGTGGGTATAGCTATAGGTACAACACGTGTTTGGGGGTACATCACGTGTCTGGTAGTGGTATGGGTACGGATCCATATTAGAAGTACCCACATAACATAGCATGAAACTCTATAAATCTTTTTGGATTGGTTTATGGACTCCCACATTTTCTTAAAATATTAAAATTCTCATGAAGATTCAAAAGAGAATTCATCTAAATCTAACGGAGAGCATCTAATATAGGCTGATGAGACAATTTGATATAGTTGTCTGACATCACCAAGACATTGAACACATTCCACATATAAGATCTTCCACCAAAGGATACCTTACAGAAATGACTCATGTACCCAGATTGATTAACAAATTCAATGAATGAAAGGTGAGAATCGCAATAAAACACGTTAATAACAATTAACAATAGAGAATGTGCAGACCTGAAGAAACAGAAAAAAGAATCACATTCTACAATTTCTAGTCGTCCTTAACTGAATGTTTTTCCAATAAGAATGTTCCTGGTGCAAAAAATTAAGTACCCAGTCTGCTAAGCATGAAATGCTTGTGATTGCCAATTTGTCTACATCTGATATTGTACTATGAGTTTTACACTTAATTATGCATTACATTTTAAAGTTCTTTTATGACTCCAAACACTATGCTGGTCAATTTCCTCCAGCACACAACATTGTAATAAGGTCTGTTAAGATTCAGCTTACATTGACAACTAAACCAACTTGCTTTCCACTAAGTCAAAATTGTTTGTATTTGTCCATCAAAGGGATAAAGAGCTTCATCAGTTCAGAAAAAAATGATTAGAGCATAAAAATGTCAAATGATATTTAATCCAGACATTTCAATCTAATAACCTTCGAGATTTTCAGACAAACTAGTAGAGAATCAGTTGTGATCAAGAGTAACTTGTATAGATGATACAAATATGCAACCTAGCACACCATCTCAAAGTTCAGCCCTTAGGTCCTAAAAGTTCAGGTGTAATTATGAAACAAAGTATCTGATTTCTATTACAATTGCTTGCACAAGAGGGGTAAATTCTCAATTTTCATGTTACTGCATGATAGACTTGGATCCTACAATTAGACTTACGAGCAAGTTTTCCTGAATCTGTCTCATCTATTGACGCTCTAGAAAAAGAACTGCACATCAAGATGGCCGGACCCAAAGGCATATTGTAAGGTCCAAGTCAATGTAGGGTCGAGATTTGAGACCTTCTAGTCTTCTACCATGTTTGCACAACAATCAACTAAGTACTAATAATACTAGCTGAAATATATTAGCATGATCCATGAATTTACAACTTCTACAAAAATACAAAATTTCCTCGAGACAATTTTAGACTTCCTCCTTTAATGATAAGAAAGAAACAAATACTTAATAAATAGATCTATCTTTAAAGTTATAAATTTCGCTTTAGTAATGATTATGATGTCTCCAGGAACTAGCATAAAAGAGTACCTTTTCCCCAAATGCAGAAAAATAAATATCTGAAATCGGATGTTCCAAGTAATCTGCAAGACAACGGCTAAAATAAACATGGTGAAATGAAGAACCATGAGAATGTTAAGTGTGAGTTCACCTTCATCATCCACATGATAAGAGGCAGTTGACGCCGACTCAGATTCCGACCCACAGCTTTCTTCATCATCAGAGATCACATCAACTGAAGTTCCCTGACAGAGCTCCAAGGTCAGACCATCTATGGTTTAAAAATTAGTATGTAAATGCAGAACTTTATTACATCAGCGAGGGAAAAAAATCAATACATCAGATTGCAGATTAAAGACATGCTCATCGTCAAATGAAGGTACAATAAGACTAGTAGCTCCTGTCATGAAGGAGTCTTTCCTCACAACGCCTTCAGGGTCAAATTTGGTAAGGCATGGGTTGTCCTGCTTTTGGTCACTTGTTGATGATATCCTATTTTCGTCCAGCCCAGACTTATCATCAGTGGTGGCCATGTTCCTCTCTGGTGAGTCAACACCAGATGAACCCTGTGCACTACCATTTTCATGCAAATCTATACATGATATGTCATTTACATCCATGCGCTTGCAATCCGATCCTGAAACTGCAACAAGGGCATTATTAAATGTAAATCAGTATAGATGAGCAAAAAAGAAAACCAAGTGAAGGTTAAACCAGATAACAACCAAAATTCATAGTAAAAAATTGCAGAAGATTCCTCTGTAACTGATCTGTAATAACTTGCAAAAATTAAACATCTAATAAAATGATTAATGGCTTATGGCTCGTCAATGTACTATTTTTTTCCATCTACTTCAGTTTCATTCATTGAAAGCTGAACTCATGCATAGGATTGGCACTCAGCAAGACCATCAGGTGTTGTGATTACATCCATTTTCTACAAGAATCGGACCAGATAAGATAATGTGATTCAATATGCGACTCTTAAGGAGCTGAGCAACCTTTTGCATTCTAAAGAAGGATAATGACTATGCCAAGATATACTACTATCACGATAAGGCCATTTTTCCTACCACTGCCCTATCCCACTACAGAAAAACAAGAACAGTATATGAAGCAAAAAATATTATCCTTGCCACACTGGGTTACCCCGCAAAAAATATTATCCTTGCCACACTGGGTTACCCCGACACGGCAATTTGAGGGAAATACCCATGTCCGACTCATTTTGGGTATGGCTATGTACTCAAACGTGGTGGACATGGACGGGTTCCTTGAGCTTCTGAGGTTTGGGGATAAATGAGACCAAAGATGATGAACAGATCGCTCTTTCTCTCTCTCTCTTCTCTCTCTACTTTTCTTCACCAAGCGGAGTATGACATCAGCTCTCACATGGGGTTGTTTGATGCGAATGGGTTTTGGTTTTGTCTTTTCTTGGTAAAGACGAGAGTCATACATATGAGTCCTTACTTTAGAAGAGTCCTTTTTATGGAGAAGTTTTAGTTTATCCGGTTTGTGATTTATTTCAATATAGATATAGATATAATTATAAACAGTCTTAACGAATTTACTCAATCTAAATTGAGACTGAAAGGAAGTCGGGCTACGCTGCACATATTGAATTGTCAATATGATCAAGAAAACACAGTTATAGACTGATCATACCAACAGTAGGAGTCAAACATATATATGTATTATATGTATAGGCTTATCATACCAACTGTAGGAGTCAAATTACTCTCTCTCTCTCTCTCATATATATATATATATATATATATATATATATATATATATATTATAATAAATTTGATCCTACAGTTGGTGGATCAGCCTATAAATATACATATATATATATATAGCCACGTCCCCATGCCCTAATTTTTAAAATTTTCCGTGTCCCATGCCCGCATTTGTATCTATGCAACCTAGTTACCACAAAAATAACGTGCCAAACAATCAACAAAGCATTTTCCACTTCGTCTGTAAGGAAGGAGGCTGAGCCACTCTAAGAAGAAAAAAAATTCATCATTTCGAACCTACAGACATTACAAAAAAATATTAGTTGGTATCAACAAGTTGAGCAGTTTGTGAAGTTCATTCCTAGAGTATAATTTCATGAACTTGTATAAGTAAACCAAACAAAAAGATTAGTGGTTCTATGTTTATCAATATCAGCATAGTGTTAAAAAAGAATTACAAATAAAAAGATTGGCCAAGTGAATTTGAGGTTCCAAATACAAAAAAGGTCAAACTAGACCTTCTTTGCAACGCAGAGGCGCAAAATCTTAAGGCTTGCTTTAGTAGAGAGGTGAAGTGGAGTCGAGTGAGGAACGAAAGCAGAAATTGTCTTAGAGAGGAGTGATGAGGGGTCATGAACAATGAAATTATTTCTCAGATGGTCATCCTACACAGTTTCCTTAAATTGGAGAGAAGAAGCTTAAAGAGTCCTGTACCTTCGTTCACTGCACACCCACTCCCCACCCCCCAAAAAAAAGCCTAAACGGGATTCCCTTCCCCTCCATACATGAGCAATCTACTCCCCATTCTCTTCCCTCCTCAATCCCCCCAAGGCCCCACCAAATCAAGCCTAAAAGCAATACCAGTTGATGCAATAGATTTTACATATCATTTCGAAGGGAAAGACATTTTCCAGTCTTCTGAGTTCATAGCAACTTATATGCACTGATATTTCCTTCATGCTCTTCTGGGATATTCAACCTGTGCTTTAAAACACATTCAAGAAACTATAATTACCTTTAGCATAGAACTTCTTAAACTTTATACATATATGACTTCTCTCTACCAGAAAAAATAGCCTAGTGTAGTCCTACCTTTACAATGTTGTTAAATGAAATATGCACTACAACCCAGATAGGAGACAGTAAAAAAGGACCACAGTCAGCAAAGATCTCACTTTTTTAATATTTATAATGTGTAGTATACAATATTCGCCCGTATCAACTTAGAAAATGCAGTCCCTTCAATTGGCAGAACACCATGGTCAATTTTTTCGGCAGTGGAGCAGCAAAAATTTACTTTATGAACCATGACAAAACAATGGAATACCATTTATGATCTGAATCAAAACATACATAAACATATTCTGAACTAACAGGGATAAATTTATTATCTTCTCTCTTACTTCAGTCCTTTCCTACTAGAAGAGACCTAGAGAATTAGTAGTAGGTTTACTCTATCTATTGAATAGGTCGTACTGCAATTTGCAAAAAACATTTCTCGTGGATAGTTTCAAAAATATAAGTATATATAACATGAATCACTTCTGCCAATTAAGTGAGAAGGAAAAAAGAAAAAGAACTCGTCTCTGTAGTTTCCTCGGCTAAGCATATGGCACCCAACCTAAGAGTTGACATCAAGCTGAGGGTGAATTTGGATAGCTTTCTTTAAAAGGGGAAGGGAGGAGTTAGGGGAGGTTACAACGCTAACCATTCTAAAATGGTGTCTGTTTACATTTTTTAGTAAGTGGGAGGAAGGATTAAGAGGGTTAAAAAGATTTAAATTTCCCCACTTTCTTAACCCTCCTAAAGTAGACGGGTTGGGAGGGAAGGGGTTGAATTTTAAGTGAATTGCTCCCTTCCCTTCCTATTTTCTTCTCTGAACAAACAAAAATTAGTTTCATCACTCTCCCTCCCTCGCCATTCCCTAGTTGTCTATACAAATAAAATCAGTTATATCATACTCCCTTCCTCTCCTTTCCCTCCCCTTGGGTTTAGCTCAATCATTCCCTCCCCTACCCTCTTCTCTATACCCTCTTCTCTATACAAACAGACCAAAGCATAACCAGGCTTACATGACGAAGATGACAGTATCCACTCACAAGTTCAAACACTGAACACTTGCAGAAGACACCAAAAAAAGACATCAGAAATTGGTATTTGATCCACCAAAAGACAAACATGCTGAATTTAGGAATTTCTTCATACAGGGTCAGACAATTCCGTCATGTGATTTTCAAAACTAAACTTGATTTTCTTACCCAATTTTTTGATTTTGTCAGACACAGTTTACAATATTTGCTTGTTGACCTCATTTTTCCTACTAAGACCAATTGCTCACAGCTTCTATCAAATATGCCCCTTTCTATACCTAAAGTTCGTGGTGTCAAGTACTGAAGCCAAAACAGTTTAATAGAACACTACCTTCAATTCTTCAGAAATTAGTTCTCGAAATGGACAAAAGTTAGCGAATTGCTTACAAGCTTGAAGGAACTTGTACTTCATGTCCTCATCTCTCTCTTCTTCCTTAGGGTTAGGGTTAGACTTCGACTTCGACGACTGAAGCAATCTGCTGGTCCTCGATCTATAATTGGCCGCCGCTTCCTCCACCGCCAATTCTTCCGCATTAAAATCGTAGGCAGAGAGATCCTTCTTCTTCTGCTGCTGCGAACACGAGCCTCTCATCGCTGATTCGATCGCCGACAGCAGCGGTGAAGTCAACCCCTAGAGATCGAACTCAAGTCAACGGGCGAATTATAGGGGAGAAGAAATTCTCAAGACGGGAATTAAGGTTTCCGGCCTCTCGTTTGTTTTCCCCCTGTTCTCTTTACTGTTGCTTTTTGGGGATGGAAATGGATCGGAGAGAGACAAACCCGAAACAGATTTGCCCTAAAAATCATACATAGAGTGTGATTTTGCCCGAAACGGGAACGGCGGAGGCAAGGCGGGTAACGGGTTGGATTGTGTACGATCTCTTGAGATCCGCTTGCTTGATCCGCTATGGAGCCGCTTGGCTCTAAGATTTGTATTTTGGATTTATGACGAATCCATGGAATCCCAAGATTTCTATGTTTTAAAAAAAAAAAATCTTTGCTTATTAGTTCAATACAAATCCAAAATGGGGGATTACTGTGGCCCCCACGTATGACTGGTTTGACTCGTAACTTCTCTAAAAAACCAACTACAACTTTTCAAAAACAAAAAAAAAAAGAAACCAACTACAAACTGTCACTTAACCCAAGTATGGTTCCTTAAACTCTATTGAATCAAAATTCTATCACTAAGCAAGCTATTGAAAAAATACAAAATATTTTTTTCACATCAAAATTCTATCACTAAGCAAGCTACTGAAAATATACAAAATTATATCACTAAGCAAGTTATTGAAAAAAGAAACTACAAACTATTATATTTTTTCACATCAAAATTCTATCACTAAGCAAGCTATTGAGAAAAAATTCAAAATGAATAAAATTACATA